ACCAGTTGAACATGAAAGGGGTGGAACAAATCGATTTAGCATGATTGAGGTCAAAAACGTGAGATATTTGAAAAAAAAAGTAGTAAGTTGGTTGATGATGAAGTAGGGTAGTGAGTGTATCTTAATAAACTATGGCAGTTAGAACATGTGTGACAATTGTCGAACCACCACCTACTTCGATGTGCCATATTGTATAGTGGTGTATGAATTATCTGGAAGAATGTTAATAGTGCACTAACTAAAATGTGGTTACCATCAATCCGTGAAGTCTATTGACTGTTGGTCTGATCTGTAATAATTGATACAAACTAATGTGGTTTGGGTTCATGTGATAGTCACGATCAGTAGTTGGAGGTGTTCGATGTTATAGTTCATGATTATTCTCAGTGGTTCAAATGCCTTCACTCTTTATCTTTATATCGGCATTTAATTCTAGTGTAGTGAACGAGAACACAGGTGGGGCAACCGAATTGTATTTATCTCAAATTACAGAGTTACTCTCTGCTGCCAGACCTTACGTTGACACTCACGTCATATACTACTTATAAGTAGCTCGCACCACACCAGTATCCCTTTATGTATACCTTTACGCTTTGTTTTTCTTGACCATACTCCAAAGATTTGGCCTTTCTTTTAATGAGTAATATTACATTATTTCGATTTCTTTAGTGTTTATTATGTTGATTTCGTCTCTTCGTTTTGATATTGTGGTATGAAAACTTGAACCAAAGTGCATCTGTTCTAACTATGTCGATAATGTTTTCGGTCTATATCATGTTAATGGGGGATCTTTCAGGACTACGAAATTGTTTGTAGAAACTAGATAATTTGCCGTTAAAAAATCTAGTGATCATTACTGATGATAAATATTTAGGTCTTTTGTCATCCGGATTAAAGACTGTACCTCATATCATTGATGCTTCAGTATTTTGATTGGAAGTGAAACACATAATGTAAATCTACGAATTGACTTTTAGCGTGTGCAAAGTAGATATCTGTACTAATATTCTGAAAGTAAATCCTTGATTTTAGCGGTCATCTCTAACGGACACTACTGTAGAATTTAATTTCTCCTACAGATGTACTTCTAGAACTGTAAATGCGATATTGGCGAGCACAGAGTCTATGAGGAAGCTGTAGTCAGAACAAGACCAATTTTGCTTTAAACTTTATGTATTTCTAAACATAAAAACACTTAGATTAGTACAATAAATTAAGGAAATTACAGTTATCAAGTGAACCCAGTAAACATACCGACCAATATAGCGTGTCTTATGGAAATGAATAAAGATATGAGTCACATCAATACTAATAAGATAATAATGTCCTTCAATTAGTAGGTCATTTACAACAGAGATAGTTTGTGGGCACGTCAGACCAGACCACTTGGTGAACTCTTAAACTACAATTTGATTGGTTAGTTATAGTATGACTACAATTAGTTATGTAAATAACTAACACTACTTCAAATAATCGTCCTTACATTACATCATAGTAACCTGGATGAAAACGCAGAAAATCACGATTGTCTCTTGAATTTTTCTCAATGATGTGACTTCGGAAAAAAGCATCAATAAACTGTCTAGTTAACAAACTTGCGAATATTAGAAAAGAGTTCTTGTCATAGTTCAACATAAAATAAAAAGCTGCTCAGAAGTGTATTTTCTTCAAGTACATATATATTCCATCTGATCTTAACTTCGTATTTTACACCGTGCTTCTTATCCAATCTAATCGATATCAATAGTTACCAATATATGGCATCACTTATTAGCCAAGGTGATTACTTATATCATACAGCAGCATAGTTCGTCAAAGAATTATACTCTTCTAGTTATCCTCAGTTGTGCATTAACGAAACGATAGTAATTTATAGCTGCTCCACCACTAAATATCGTATTCTGTAAACTTAGCTTACAATCAGTAATTATATTTATTCATTTATTTCAGATACTGTCCTAGGTTGACTGTGATTGACAAACTAGATTAGCCTAGTTGTTCAGATTATTAGTCTCACTGTTAAAATTTCTTGTCTTCTCTTTGAAATTTCGAGGCTGAAATCATACAAATGTTTTCTTTGCATGCTACAGACATGCAGTATCTCTAGTGTGTAAAAATAGACCTAGAAGAAATTCTAAGTGAAAATTTATTCGAATCGTCTATGATAATTGGGTCTATCACTGAATTTCTATGATCTACTTGTTTATTAAATACTACCCCTAACTCAGGTCTCATATGGTCGAAAAATGAAAATTTTGTAACTGCAAAAAAATCATTACCCTGGACGTGAGACAAAGGGTATTAGGAGTGTCTGGGCCTGTTTGCATCAAGTTGGGCTGCATCTTCTGCTATCCTACGCCATATATGTGTACACCATATGCTATGCTGCTATATGGAGCTGAAGGTTTCTTATGAGACCAGAGGTTCGCTGTGAACATTGTGGATGGCTTGGCATTGCCTTTGGTAAGCATCGCTAACAGTCCATATACGAAATTGGTTAGCAGGGCGACCGATTTCATTGATACTAGTGGTTGTTTTGCAACATTCTCGAGGGCCATTGTCGTTAGAGTGCTGTATTGCATATTACCGTTGCTAATAATAATGAGTTTGACAGTCATGTAAGCGAGATGGGTTAAAATGGCCTGTTCATGCTGTGCATATTGATTAACACGATCATGGATCAGAAATAATCTCTGTGCATATGTACTAGTGTATATAAATGGTGTGAATAGTCCACCAGGGTATCAGGTACCTTGTGTGGTTTACACCAAGGAATTGAACCGAACTATTGATGTCGAAATGCTAACACGTGAGCAGTCTCCTTGGTTCTGTGGTGCGAGCTACTTATAAGTAGTATATGACGTGAGTGTCAACGTAATGTCTGGCAGCAGAAGATGGAGGAAGATCAAGAAAGGAAGGGTTAGAACTCAATGGAATTTGTATGAAACGCATGAATAGTAGTGACAATGGATTAATGTTTTGCAACAAGAACAGTCAGTCTAGTTCGATATGATGAATTGATATTTTGCAAATGAACAATTTACGATATGGTTTTCCTATTTTACTGAGTAACTCTGTAATTCTGCCGGTTGCCCCACCTGTGTTCTCGTTCACTACAGTTCTACTGAAAACCAATGTAAAATCGCCCTTGACAATAGAGGGTTAATTTATATAATATAAATAATTGGCTGGTACACTTATTGTTTATTAAAAGCCAACGGTACTCTTAATAACGATGGTCATTTGTAATTGTGAAATTCAGTGTAAGCATGATATTTTACTTTCCCACATATATTACAATAGAATCTCATAATAATAATAATAATAATAATAATATTCATTTGTTTTTTTCTATTTATTTTTAAACCAATTAGGCTGATTGTGTATTTGCTTTTCAATTAAGAAATCCCATACATAATGGTCATGCTTTATTAATGACTGAAACTAGACAACAATTATTAGCAAAGTATAAATATCAAAATCCTGTATTATTATTACATCCACTTGGTGGTTGGACAAAATTAGATGATGTACCACTTAATATACGTATAGCTCAACATGAAGCATGTTTAAATGAAGGTGTTTTAGATCGTAAAACAACTTTATTAGCAATATTCCCTTCACCTATGTTATATGCTGGACCACGTGAAGTACAATGGCATGCACGTACTCGTATGTTAGCTGGTGTACAATATTATATAGTTGGTCGTGATCCTGCTGGTTTACCACATCCTAATGGAACAGGTGTTGATTTATATGATCCATCTCATGGTGGTAGAGTATGTTCTTGGTGTTTTTATTTAATAATAATTGTATAAACTGTATTTATTATATATATATATATATGTTTAACTTTAATCAGTTCATGATATTTAGCTACTACCGCTTCGTGTACTTCATGATTTTCAAGGATTATCTAACTGAAATCGATTCATGATCCCAGTAACTACCTATTCTTGAATGTGATAACAGACTGAGGTGATCACACATGAATTGATTTTTAAAAATGTTAATGAATGAGATAATGAGTAGTTTCACTTTCTTCTTTAAAAATTTTTTCGAAGATTATGAATGAATCTTCTGTTTTTGTATAAGTACTATAGTCATGTTGTTATCTAGTTTCACTTCAGTTATTGTTTTTTTTTGTCATGTTAAAAAAGTCATCTTTGGAAATTAAGCTTCATTTATTAGATTTTATTGAACAGTGAATATGAATTGATTTCACTCTTCCGATTTAATTGAACCTAATAATCCGTTCATCTAATCTGTGCTGTTACATATCTGTTGTAACGGTATGCTTAAATAATTCCCAGCTAATTCCTATTGCGCTTAGTATTCTCTGATTACAATACACTGGACAAGTTCCTAAGAATCAAAAAACACGGTTGAACAGGAAAAGAGTATATTCCAAATAGCAAGGTTAAATGGAAATAAGAAGCCAAAGGTGATGGCGAAGGAGAAGGCAAAGGCAAAAATGGATACAACGTTAGTTTATTTATAGCATTTACATGAGAAGCTTCTGGATAGAAATTCACGTGATCGACTGGACTAGATTTAGCCAATCAGCATGCAGCTAACAATACGAGAATTTTCTACCCTGTTCTCCAAGAATCGATCAGGCGCTGATTGGATAGGAAATTAGCCAATCAGCGAGTAGCAACGTAGTCATGCTTTGATTCCATCTATGTCCCACTAACAATATCAAAGTTGATATCATGGATGATATATAATTGTGTTTGGTGAAAATGCTAAGAAGATGTAGAGTTTTTTGATTTCCTTAAGCAACCGTAGATATATGTTTGGAATGTAATTCTCTCTCTCTCTAAGTGAAAATTGTTGTTTCATAACTGATCTATGCTGATACTTTAACTAATAATAAGCTGTGAAGTAGGTAAGTATAGATCATTTTACTGATGTCATAAGTCTGATCACCCGTGGTGTGTTGGTCTCTTCCCCCTTCAAAATGATAAGTGCTATGATGTAGTAATAGTTGCAGGTGATTTTAATGATCGACTAGGTAGATTGTGCTAAACTGAAAGACACTTGCATGAATCTTACAGTGTCAGATAACCATCTATATCTGGCATTCACTAACTTTGAGAATTAGTAAAGACATCTTCTGACATTTCGACCCACGAAATCGACTGAACGCTGAGTTCAAAAATACCACATTTCCATCAGGAGAGGCTCTATAGAAGACTGCTGCTCATTCTGGAACACATGTTTAGATCTAGATCATGCTCTACTACGAGTGTGGATTTGTCTTCGTCAGTAGGACTTGATGGATCAACCCGTGAGATTTTTAAATATGTGGGTTCAGTTTTAGCAGTGAGGTTGAATGAGTTCTTATCTAGAATGTGGCAGCTGGACGTAATCCCATCTGACTGATAGCAATCGCTGATTATTCCAGTCTCCAGTCACAGAGGAATAGATCTAACTAATATGGTAAAT